ACCGGCGAGAGGCTGCTCAAGCTTGTGGCGAGTGATGGGGCCGCATACGACTATTTCGGAAATGCGGTGGCCGTGAACTCCGAGGGGGCCGCGTGGTGGTGGGGGCCTATCGTGACGAAGACCAGGGCAGCTATTCTGGCTCCGTGCACGTGTTCGACGGTACCACCGGCGAGAGGCTGCTCAAGCTTGTGGCGAGTGATGGGGCCGCAGGCGACAATTTCGGATTCGCGGTGGCCGTGAGCTCCCGCTCGACCGCCTGGTGGAGGGGCCCCGAGCGGGACCGACGACCCAGGGCTCCGTGCACGTGTTCGACGGAACTGCTCCGGCGCACTGCTCATCTTGGCGCGAGTGGATGGGAACGCATACTTGCAATGTGGGCACAGGTGGCCTGAGCTCCGACGGGCCCGCGGGTGCTGGGGCAGAATTTGAACGACGACCAGGCGTCGATTTTCTGGCTCCGTGCACGTGTTCGACGGTACCACCGGCGAGAGGCTGCTCAAGCTTGTGGCGAGTGATGGGGCCGCAGGCGACAATTTCGGATTCGCGGTGGCCGTGAGCTCCGACAGGGCCCGCGTGGTGGTGGGGGCCTACTATGACGACGACCAGGGCGACAATTCTGGCTCCGTGTACGTGTTCGACGGCGGCACCATCGTCACCACCAGGACGGCCACGAGTTCCGCGACGTCAAGCACTACTACCACCATCAAGACAATCACCGAGACAACCACCGAGACAACAACTGAGACGACCACCGCGACGACCACCAAGACGGCCACGACGACCATTGATACGGGCACGAGTTCGGCCACATCAAACAGCACAGCCACCACCGAGCCATGGGGATTAATTGCAGTCTTCGCTGGTGTCTTGATCTTCTTCTTGTTGATCTTGTTCTTGGTCTGCGGCGTCGCGCTGGGCTGCCTGGTGGGGCTCGAATGTCCTGGCCGTGGCAGGGGCCCAACACCCCAGCGCGGCATTCACAACGCGGAGGTTGAGGTCAACTAGTCGGAGCAGGACGCGGAGATCGATGAGCACGGGGCATTTTGGGCCGTTTCGGAACCCTTTTGGGCTGTTTTGGCGGCCCCTTGGAGCCTCTTGGGCCGTCGTGGAGCGGTTTTGGGGGCCTCTTGGTCTGTCGTCAACGCTGCGAAGGCCGAAAAGTCGCATATGTTAGGAATGCACGTTTTCCCAATGGAAATTGACGATTTGGGCATCGTGGGGGCTTCTGAGAGGCCTCATGGAGGCGTCATGGGGTGTCTTGGCGGCTTCTTGGGCCGTCATTGATACGGGCACGAGTTCGGCCACATCAAACAGCACAGCCACCACCGAGCCATGGGAAGTAATTGCAGTCTTGATCTGTGGCTGGTGTCTGGATCTTGTTCTTGGGCTGCGCTGTCGCGCTGGGCTGCCTGGTGAGGCGCGGGCCGTGGCAGGGGCCCAACACCCTAGCGCGGCATTCACAAAGCCAGGCACCCCTCTGATGAATCAACAGGGGGCGGCGGAAAACGCCTATGTGGCCGAGAGCTGGGCCAGAGCTCGGCCAAGCTATCGGGCCAGTTCTTCCCCGAGTCGGTTTGGAAAGACTTCGGGGAACGCGCGTGGGGGGGCAAGACGTGGAGGAGGGAGAGGATCAGGAAAAAAGGAGGAGAAGGAGGAGGAGGAGGAGGAGGAGGCCTCTTGGGCGCCTTTTGGGGCACTCCTGGAACTTCCTGGGGGCTTGCTGGGAGCCTCTTGGAGGCCTCTTCGGGGCCTCCTTGGGCCTGCTGGGGGCCTTTGGTCTTGGGGGTCTCTTTGGCAGTCTTAGGGCGTTCCTGGCTTGTCTGACGCCGTCGGAAGCCGTCATGGGGGCCTGTCTGGGTCGTCTTGGGGCCCTCTTGAGGCATTTCAGGGCTGGCTTCGAGGCCATCTTGGGCGCCTTGGACGCCTCTTGGGTCGTCTTGGGGCCCTCTTGGGGCCGCCTTCGGAGCTTTTTGGGCCGTCATCGGGCCATCTTGGAGGCCTCGTGGGCGATCTTGGGGCGATCTTGGGGGCCTCTTGGGCCGTCTTGAGTCGTCGGAATGCCGAGAAGAAGAAAATGCCGCAATCTGTCAAAACCCTTTGAAAAAACAATGGTTTTGGTTTCTTCGGGCCCTCCTGGACGACCTCTTGGAGGCGTCTTGGGCCGTCTTGGGCGCCTCTTGGGGGCCTCTTGGGCCGTCTTAGGCCGTCTTCGATGTATCTTGGGCCGTCTTGGAGGCATCTTGGGGCCATCTCAGCTGTCTTGGAGGCCACCTTGGCCGTCTTGAAGGGCCTCTTGGGGCTGTATTGGGGGCCTCTGGGGCCGTCATGGCGCCATCTTGGAGGCCTCGTGGGCGATCTTGGGGCGATCTTTGGGACATCTTGGGCCGTCTTCAGCCGTCGGGATGCCGAGAAGAAGCACATGCCAAAATGCTTCGACAACCTAAGGAAAAGCAATGATGTTGGTCTCTTCGGGTCCTCCTGGGGGACCTCTTGGAGGCCTCTTGGGCCGTCTTGGAGACCTCTTGGAGGCCTCTTGGGCCGTCTTGGGCAATATTGAGGCCATCTTGGGCCGTCTTGGATGCATCTTGGGCCGTCTTGGAGGCATCTTGGGGTAATTTTAGCCGTCTTGGAGGCTATCTTGGCCGTCTTGGATGCCTCTTGGGGGGCCTCTGGGGCCGTCATGGGGCCATCTTGGAGGCCTCGTGGGCGATCTTGGGGCGATCTTGGGGGCCTCTTGGGCCGTCTTGAGCCGTCGGAAGGCAGAAAAGAAGCAAATGCCACAACCTGTCAAAACCCACAAGAAAATCAATGATTTTGGCCTCTTCGGGTCCTCCTGGATGACCTCTTGGAGGCCTCTTGGGCCATCTTGGAGACCCCTTGGGGGCCTCTTGGGCCGTCTTGGGCAATATTGAGGCCATCTTAGGCCGTCTTGGAGGCCGTCTTGGATCATCTTGGGCGGACTTGGAGGCCATCTTGGACCATCTTGGAGACCATCTTGGGCCAATATGACCATCTTGGAGGCCATCTGGAGCCGTCTTGGGGGATTTTTCCGGGATTGAGATCCCTTTCGGGTGGCCGGCATGATGGGCCGAAGCCCCAGGGGGTCTAGCACGCCGGGCACCCCTGTGGCACGCCAACAGAGGGCGGCGGATCGAAGACGCCTACGGCGAATCACTGCCGCCCCCTGCCTGTTTGGAAGCGCCTATGTGGCCGAACGTTGAAGCCAGACCCGCCAAGCTATCGGACCATGTGTTCCCCGAGTCGGTTTGGAAAGCCTTCGGGGAACACGTGGGCTTCTTGAAGGTCATCTTGGCCGTCTGGAGGCCATTTTGACCCTTTCGGGCCTTCTTGGAGGACGTCTTGGAGGGCTCTTTGGAGGCCTCTGGGGCCGTCTTGGGGGCCTCTTGGGGCCGTCTTGAGGGCCTCTTGGGCGATCTTTGGGGGCAGTTGGGCCGTCTCGGGCCGTCGGAAGGCCGAACAAAAAGCAAATGCCACAATCCTTCAAAAACTCATAGAAATTCAATGATTTTGGCTTTTCCGGGCCTTCCTGGAGGCCCTCTTAGGGGCCTCTTGGGCTGTCTTGGGCCATCTTAGGGCCATCTTCGGCCGTCTTGCCGTCGGAAGCCGTTTGGGCGGCCTCTCTGGGTCGACTTGGGGCCCTTTTGGAATGCTCCAGGGCGGCCCAAGAGGCCATCCTGGGCGTCTTAAAGGCCTCCTGGGCCGTCTTGGGGCCTCTTGGGGCCGTCTTGGGGGCCTCTTGGGCCGTTCTGGGGCTATCTTGGAGGCCTCTTGGGCGATCTTTGGGGGATCTTTGGGGGCTCTTGGGCCGTCTCGGGCCGTCGGAAGGCCGAAAAGAGGCAAATGTCAAAACCCTTCAAACACCTAAGGAAGATGAGTGTTTTTGTTCTTTTAGGCCTCTTGGCCCGTCTTGGGGCCCTTGGGGCCGTCTTGGGGCCGTCTTGGGGGCCTCTTTGGCCGTCATGGGGGCCTCGTGGGCATCTTGGGGCCGTCTTGGGGGCCTCGTCGTTAGGGCTGTCTTCGAGGCCATCTTGGGCGCCTTGGACGCCTCTTGGGTCGTCTTGGGGCCCTCTTGGGGCCGTCTTCGGAGCTTTTTGGGCCGTCATGGGGCCATCTTGGAGGCCTCGTGGGCGATCTTGGGGCGATCTTGGGGGCCTCTTGGGCTGTCTTGAGCCGTCGGAAGGCCGAAAAGAAGCAAATGCCAAAACCTGTCAAAGCCCAAAGGAACATCAATGATTTTGGCCTCTTCGGGCCCTCCTGGAGGACCTCTTGGAGGCCTCTTGGGTTGTCTTGGGCCGTCTTGGAGGCTTCTTGGGCGAATTTGGAGGTATCTTGGACTCTCTTGGGCCGTCTTTGAGGCCATCTTGGACCATCTTGGAGGCCATCTTGTGCCAACGTGGCCATCTTGGAGGCCATCTTGGGCCATCTTGAGCGAAAGATTGGGGAATTGAGTTCCTTGAGAGCTTTTCTGGGTGGCCGGCGGGACGCGCTGGAGCCCCAGGGGGAGCTCTTTTGGAAAAGAACCAAAACCAGAACCGATAGGATCCAGCACGCCAGGGCACCCCTGTGATAAATCACAAGGGGACGGCGGATCGAAGACGCCTACGGCGAATCACCGCCGCCCCCTGTCTTTTTGGAAGCGCCTATGTGGCCGAACGTTGAGGCCAGACCTGCCAAGCCATCGGACCATGTGTTCCCCGAATCGGTTTGGAAAGCCTTGGGGAACACGTGGGCATCTTGAAGGTCATCTTGGCCGTCCTGGAGGCCTCTTGGGCGATCTGTGAGGCCTCTTGGGCCGTCTCGTGCCGTCGGAAGGCCGAAAAGAAGGAAATATTTAAATCCGTCGAAAACTTTAGGAAAATCAAGGTTTGTGGCCTGTTCTGGCCTTCCTGGAGGCCCTCTTGGGGGCCTCTTGGGCCGTCTTGGGCCAGCTTCGAGCCAACTTCGGCCATCTTGGTGGGTTCCTGGCACGTCTGACGCCGTCGGGAGCCGTCTTGGGGGCCTTCCTGGGCCAACGGGTGACCCTCTTGGAGGCCATCTTGGGCGTCTTGGAGGCCATCTTGGGCGTGTTGGAGGCCTCTTGGGCCGTCTTGGGGCCCTCTTGGGGCAATCCTGGAGGCCCTTTGGGCCGTCATGGGGCCCTCTTGGGGGCCTCTTGGGCGATCTTGGGGGTCTCTTGGGCTGTCTTGAGCCGTCGGAATGCCGAGAAGAAGCAAATTTCCAAATCCTTCAAAAACCTAAGGAAAATCAATGATTTTGGCCTCTTCGGGCCCTCCTGGAGGACCGGGCTGAGGCTGAGGCTGAGGCTAGGCTGAGGCTGATGCGTAGGCTAGGCTTGCGCTGAATTTTAGGATGCGGCTTAGGCTGGACTTTGGGCTGAGGCTTAGGCTGATGCTTAGGCCAGACTGCGGCTTCGGCTAGGCTGAGGCTTAGGCTGAGGCTGAGCCTAGGCTTATGCTACGGCTTAGGCTGAGGAATGGGCTAAGCTGAAGTTGATGCTGAGGCTAAGCTAAGGCTGAACTCTAGGCTGAGGCTTAGGCCAGGTTGAAGCTTTGGCTGAAGCGGAGGCTAGGCTTAGGCTACGGCTTAGGCTGAGGCTTCGGCTAGGCTGGGGTGAGGCTGAAGCTAGGCTGAAGCGCAGGCTGAGGCTGAGGCTGAGGCTGAGGCTTGGGCTAGGCTGGGGTTGATGCCGAGGCTAGGCTTAGGCTGAGCCGTTAGCTGACGCTTCGGCTAAGCTGAGGCTTATGCTATGCGTAAGCTGAGGGTGAGGCTTAGGCTACGGCTTAGGCTTAGGATGAGGCGAGGCTGGGGCTCAGGCTGAGGCGGAGGCTTGGGCTAGACTGAGGCTGATGCTTAGGCTAGGCGTATGCTGAACCTTAGGCTGGACCTTAGGCTGCTGCTTAGGCTGAGGCGTAGGCCAGGCTGAGGCTTAGGCTGGGGCTCAGGCTAGGCTAAGGTTTCGGCTGGGGCTGAGGCTAGGCTTAGGCTACGGCTTAGGCAGAGGCTAGGCTGAGGCTGAGGCGAGGCTGAGGCTGAGGCTGAGGCTGAGACTTGGGCTAGGCTGAGGTTTATGCTTCGGTTAGGCCCATGCTGAACCTTAGGCTGCGGCTTAGGCTGAGGGTTAGGGCAGGCCGAGGCTTAGGCTAGGCAGAGGCTTAGGCTGAGGCTAGGCTTTGGCTACGGCGCGACGGCTTAGGCTCAGGCTAGGCTGGGGCTGGGGGGAGGGGGGGGGGGCGTGGGGGGGGCGCGTGGGTCACAGAGTGCGATTCTGATAAGATCTGCTTCGTACGGCAGCTTGGATCAGACTGCAGCGTGTTCCAGATTGAATATCATATTGCGCGCCAGGTTGACGTCCGCCAGATTAGCTTGTGAGGGCAGCCAGACTGCATCTTGTACCAGATTGCCAGGTTGGACACTTCGCCAGGTTTGCCAGGTTGGCTTTAGGGCCAGAATGCCAGATTGAAATGCTCACCAGATTGGGTGCTTCCCCCCCAAAGGGATGCGCCATAATCTTTGTTTCAGCATCTGCCAGGTTGGGCCGCATTCCAGACTGCTCCTCAAATGATGTGTATATAGATATGTATATATAATATATATATATATATATATAAATATATTATATATATTGTGTTGGGGCCGTTTACCAGATTGCCAGATTGGCGCCAGATTGGCTCTCGCCAGATTAGATCAGATCGACTCCCTCGCCAGACTGCCAGATTGGACCCGCCAGATTGGCGCCAGATTGGCTTCGACTACCCAGTCTTGGGCTGTCTTTGTGCCCTCTTTGGCCTGCAGGCGTGGCATCTGGGCCCGTCGCCTCGTCGGGGCGAGGAGTCTCGGGTTATGATGCTCCAACCTACTTTAGCCGTGACCACCAGGAAGAATGCCGAGCACAAACCAAACATACCGAAGCTCGAGGGTCTTCGCGTGTCGGGCCCTGGGAGACGCTCGCCCGACCCCGTTTCGATACTTGTTCGGCATTCTTTCGGCACTTTTCCGGGTGCTCGAAATTACTTCTGGGATGTGGTCCTTCAGTACGATGGGAGCAGCAGAAGTCTCGGGGCGACCGTGGAAGCATCCCGAGGCCGCGGGGGCCCACGGGCAAAAAGTCTAATACCTCTTGAAACTTTCTCGGGGGTCCTCTTGAAGCCCTCTTGGGAGCCTCTTGGGCTGTCTTGAGGCAGTGGGGGTGTCCTTGAAGCTTCTCCTGCGTGTTCGAGCCCTTCCTTGGTCGTCTTTGAAGGCAACTTTGGGCGTCTTGGAGGCCATGGAGGGTGGATTTGGACGCTCTGAGGGCCCGGAAGGTGCGTTGAAGGGCTCTGGCCCATCCCCCAGGGTCCCCCCCTCCAACGCGATTTTGGACCCCAAATGTCTCACACGCCTTTTCACCCCCGGCAAGTGGGGGCTGGCGGAGTGAAGCGCTCGTGCGATTTATATACGCACGTGGAGCTGCCTACCAGTGGGCGCCAGCCATCCATTCGTAGGCAGGTCCTTTTTTGAGACGCGAGAACGCATCGCCGCATCGCTGCCTCCGCACTCCATCGCGGAGCAAAGCTCCGCATCCTGATGCTGCGCTCCTCCTCAGACTTCTCCACCTCCACCTTCCTCTTCCTCCGCCTCCGCTCCTCCTCTCCTCACTCGCCCTCCGGTTCTCCTGAGTTTTCGCCTCGGCACCTGGATGTACATCGGGCTGCGCGCCTTTTCAGCGTTCGGCCCTCGCGTGACCGGGTACCGCACGCCGACAACATGTCGCACCGCTACACGCGCCAGCCTGAAGGCGGTAGAGGAGGGGGGAGGGGGTGGAGGAGGTGGGAGGGAGGAGGGCCCCTGGCTCCATCACCCCGTCCTCGTCCTTACCCCTCCTGCCTCTGGAGGCGTCGGAGTCCTCTGGGCGAAGCCGCGTGTCAGCGCCAGACAGCGCCAAGTTCGATTTCCGATGACCAGAGCAACAACGCGCCATTCGTACACATTCCCGCGGGCCTTTTGGTGGTTCATTGCCCCGCTAGGGTCCCTGGCCCCCCCTTGGAGATCAAAGTTTTCTCATATCTATTGGGTGCCAAACTAAGACGGCGACGGCGGGCCCGAAGCGAGTCGAATTCCTGTTTGCAAAATGTTAGGGAGCGTGGGCCCCAAACGGTGTGTGTTCGAGCAATATTTTCGGTCCACTCTATCCCAGTTTGGGGCCTCTTGAGCAGCTCCTGAAGCTCCATTCTAACTGGGCCGTCGGGGGCCTGTCTTGGCTGCCTTGTGCCCTCTTGGGCTGTCTTTGTGCCCTCTTTGGCCTGCAGGCGTGGCATCTGGGCCCGTCGCCGCGTCGGGGCGAGGAGTCTCGGGTTATGATGCTCCAACCTACTTTAGCCGTGACCACCAGGAAGAATGCCGAGCACAAACCAAATATACCGAAACTCGAGGGTCTTCGCGTGTCGGGCCCTGGGAGACGCTCGCCCGACCCCGTTTCGACACTTGTTCAACATTCTTTCGGCACTTTTCCGGGTGCTCGAAATTACTTCTGGGATGTGGTCCTTCAGCACGACGGGAGCAGCAGAAGTCTCGGGGCGACCGTGGAAGCATCCCGAGGCCGCAGGGGCCCACGGGCAAAAAGTCTAATACCTCTTGAGACTTTCTCGGGGGTCCTCTTGAAGCCCTCTTGGGAGCCTCTTGGGCTGTCTTGAGGCAGTGGGGGTGTCCTTGAAGCTTCTCCTGCGTGTTCGAGCCCTTCCTTGGTCGTCTTTGAAGGCAACTTTGGGCGTCTTGGAGGCCATGGAGGGTGGATTTGGACGCTCTGAGGGCCCGGAAGGTGCGTTGAAGGGCTCTGGCCCATCCCCCAGGGTCCCCCCCTCCAACGCGATTTTGGACCCCAAATGTCTCACACGCCTTTTCACCCCCGGCAAGTGGGGGCTGGCGGAGTGAAGCGCTCGTGCGATTTATATACGCACGTGGAGCTGCCTACCAGTGGGCGCCAGCCATCCATTCGTAGGCAGGTCCTTTTTTGAGACGCGAGAACGCATCGCCGCATCGCTGCCTCCGCACTCCATCGCGGAGCAAAGCTCCGCATCCTGATGCTGCGCTCCTCCTCAGACTTCTCCACCTCCACCTTCCTCTTCCTCCGCCTCCGCTCCTCCTCTCCTCACTCGCCCTCCGGTTCTCCTGAGTTTTCGCCTCGGCACCTGGATGTACATCGGGCTGCGCGCCTTTTCAGCGTTCGGCCCTCGCGTGACCGGGTACCGCACGCCGACAACATGTCGCACCGCTACACGCGCCAGCCTGAAGGCGGTAGAGGAGGGGGGAGGGGGTGGAGGAGGTGGGAGGGAGGAGGGCCCCTGGCTCCATCACCCCGTCCTCGTCCTTCCCCCTCCTGCCTCTGGAGGCGTCGGAGTCCTCTGGGCGAAGCCGCGTGTCAGCGCCAGACAGCGCCAAGTTCGATTTCCGATGACCAGAGCAACAACGCGCCATTCGTACACATTCCCGCGGGCCTTTTGGTGGTTCATTGCCCCGCTAGGGTCCCTGGCCCCCCCTTGGAGATCAAAGTTTTCTCATATCTATTGGGTGCCAAACTAAGACGGCGACGGCGGGCCCGAAGCGAGTCGAATTCCTGTTTGCAAAATGTTAGCGAGCGTGGGCCCCAAACGGTGTGTGTTCGAGCAATATTTTCGGTCCACTCTATCCCAGTTTGGGGCCTCTTGAGCAGCTCCTGAAGCTCCATTCTAACTGGGCCGTCGGGGGCCTGTCTTGGCTGCCTTGTGCCCTCTTGGGCTGTCTTTGTGCCCTCTTTGGCCTGCAGGCGTGGCATCTGGGCCCGTCGCCGCGTCGGGGCGAGGAGTCTCGGGTTATGATGCTCCAACCTACTTTAGCCGTGACCACCAGGAAGAATGCCGAGCACAAGCCAAATATACCGAAACTCGAGGGTCTTCGCGTGTCGGGCCCTGGGAGACGCTCGCCCGACCCCGTTTCGACACTTGTTCAACATTCTTTCGGCACTTTTCCGGGTGCTCGAAATTACTTCTGGGATGTGGTCCTTCAGCACGACGGGAGCAGCAGAAGTCTCGGGGCGACCGTGGAAGCATCCCGAGGCCGCAGGGGCCCACGGGAAGCGACGAGGCGAGAGACCCCGAGGGACAACCTCACACGTTCCGACATCCCTGACGGGTGTCGGGCTTGGCATAGCTCGGACGTGTGCATGTTTCCTTGGGCGAGGACCATCCAGGAGCATCCTTGATCATATGGCGAAACAGCCACGCGCGAAACCGAACAAAAACACAGGGAATGGACGTCCGAGCGATGGCCAGCGGGCCCCCTCCAGGGTTCGCCTGGGACGTCCCTGAGCCACTTGGAGCCATCTTGGGGTGGTGCTGCGGCTTCATGGAAGCCCGTTGGATGGCCCCAGTTGCGGCCAGCTGGGCGCCACGGGCCCGCAGCCCACTGGAGCCCGCGCGGGGGGGGCCCTCGGCTTCGTCGAGCGCCAGCCCGCCATGGCGAGCAGGGGCCTTGTAGCGGCGATAGCCGCAGGGCTGCGCAGGGAGGTGGAGGCGCCCGCGGTGACGGCGTCGTCGAGGGCATGCGCGATGCGGGCGTCGACGACGAAGAAGTCGATTATTCTCCCACCTCCGCTCCATTGGCAGGCAGGCTTCTCGGGGGCGAAGGGGACGCCCCCAACGTCTGCGCACCAGTCGCTGCTCTTGAGAGTGTCGGGCGCGTCGTTGAAGCCCGCCTGGAGCACCCGGGGGACGTCGTGGGAGCGGACCAGCTCCCCGCTGGCGTCGAGGAGCGATAGGTTGCGGAGGGCCCAGCCCTCGGCCGCCCAGAGGTAGGCGGTGACCAGCATGATCCCCCCCCCCGTCTGGAACCCTGGCGCCCACGCGGCCGCGAGCCGCCCGGGCGAGCAAGGGGGGGGGAAGTCGAAGGGGTCCACGCCGTCGAGGCAGGTGAGCCCCGGGCACCTGAGGGCCACGAGGCCCACGCCCGCAACGCGCCCCCCAGCAGGCCCACGCGCTGCGGCCGTCAGGCCGACCACGAGGTGCCTCGCGTAGCAGGAGGCGCTGGCCTTCCCGATGTGGTTGGCCGAGAGCCTGTGCTCCTGGACGCAGAGGGTGGTGGCGAGTCCCAGCGGGTGCTCGTCGATGTGGTTGATCAGGGATGGCCAGGAGTTGGCGCTGAACCCTCGCATGGTCATGCCTGGTTTGTACCTGGCCCCCTTGCCACGGGTGGCCCTCTCTGTGCTGGCGATGCTGGCAACCTCCTTGGGGTCGTCCTGTAGGCTGCGGAAGCTCTGGAGGTAGCTGGGGCCGTCCTGGTGGCAGCAGGCCGATGGAGTTCTCGTGTCAAGGATGGTGCGGACGATGTGGGCGTGAGCTAGCCCTCGGCCAATGTCGAGATCCTCGGCCCCCCTGCGCATCGCGTCTTGGTGCTCGCACCGCCGCCGCCACCATTCCTGCTCGTCGTCGTCGAGCAGGTGCCGCATCCACTGGGGGTATCGCAGCCACTGCCGCCGCCTCTGTCGAAAGACTCGCAGGCAAATCTCGATGGCCATGTCGGTGCGGGCCTGTGGGGTGGTGGTCCCATCCCGCGCAGCACGTCCTGCAACCAAGGACTCTCCATGAGCGGGTGTTCCAGGTACCGAGCCACGTGCGGCACGCAGGCCCTGCGCCAGAGGAAGCTGTCCACGTCGTCGCCCCTTTTGAGCGGGTCCTCCATCCAGTGGCCCGTGCACGTGCGGAGGCGGCGCTCCAAGGCCCACTTGGCCTGGAGCGCTCTCCTCCCTCTCGGGGTCCTGGTCCTTGGCCTCCACTGCGCCCCGTCGGGCCCAGGGCGGTGCCTGCCGCCGGCGCAGCACCTGGATCCCCTCCTGCGCCGAGGCCGCCTTCGGGCGCACGTCCGTGGTCGGCTGGCAGACGCAGCCGTCGACGAAGAAGCCAACCTCCTTCGCGCGCAGCGGCGGCGCCTCGGGCCGGCAGCTCGAGGGCGGCGGGGCGCTTGCCACGCCCGCGGCGCAGGCCGCGCCGAGCTGGGCGCCGCTGGAGCCGAGCGGCTTCGTGCCGAGGGGTGGGGGTCAGCCACGGCGGCGTGCTCCGGCCTCCTGAGGCCGCGCCCTTAGGTTCGCTGGTCTGGGGCCTCGGAGACCCCGCCCGCTCTGGCCAGGATCCGGTCACGTTCGGCAGTGTCCACCCGGCGGCGCGGAGCTCGCGGGGCCCCGCTGGCGCCACCGCTCGCGCTTGACCCAGCAGGATCAGCAGCAGGCCCAGGACCCTGGCCAGGGGGGGGGGGGGAGTTTGTCCCATCGGCGGGGCCCCTCGTGGCTGGCTCCGCAGCACCCTTTCCTCCTTTGCCTGCCGCCTTCCCTGCGGGCTGCTGGGGCTGCTGGGCGGCGGCTGGGGCGGCCTGGGCGGCGGGCTCTGGGGCAGCCAACCTCGGGCGCTTGGCCTTGAGGCGGTCCTGCATGGTCTTGAGCTCCGCGCGCATGGCCAGCAGCCCCTGAGCGGCGGGCCCGAAGTGCTTCTGAACCTCCCCTTGGACCTGCTTGACGAAGTTGGCCAACTGCTCCCGGAACCGCGCCTTCTCCGCGTCGGAGATGTCGAGGTCCTCGAGGTCGAAGGGCGCGACCGCCGTGGCGTCCAGGACCGCCGCGTCCTGCTCCAGGATGCGCGAGAGGTCCAGGGCGGCGCCGACCGCAGGGGCGCTGGCTGCGGTCGCGGCAGGCGCCGCGGGGGCGGTGGCGCCATCGGGGGCGGCGGCGGCGTAGGCCTGGGCCGCCGCAGCCTCGGCCTCGGCCACCTCCACGACGGCGTCCTCACGCTCGACCCCTTTGGCGTCCAGCCATTGCTCGGCGTCCGCGACCGCCGCGATGGCCGTCTTGAGAGCGCGCCCCGCCCTGCGAACTCGCGCCCGCGCCTGGCTGAGTGCCACATCGGCGTGGGCCGAGGGCGGCGGAGCAAGGGCGACGGCGAGCTCCCGCGCCCTCTGAGCCGCGGCGGCGTCGTCCGTGGGCAGCGCAGCGCGGAGCGGTCGAAGCAGCTCCTCGGGCGCGGCGGCCTGCTGCTGGCGCCGCGGGCGGCGGCCCCCGCGCGAGGGCCCCCCACCCTCCTCCTCCTCCTCCTCCTCCTCCTCCTCCTCCTCCTCCTCCTCCTCCTCCTCCTCCTCCTCCTCCTCCCCCTCCTCCTGGGCCCCTGCGGCACTGGAAGCGCGTGGTGTTGGAGACACAGTTCCACTTGTTGCCGCAGGCCTTGCCCTTGGCATGGGATTGTGCTCCGCCCAGGTTCCCGGCCTTCGGTCCTCGAGTGCCACTGCCGCCCCTGCGCAGCGCCCTGGATCCGAGCCGGCCCGCCTGGTGCGAGCACCCACGAAACGGACGGATACCTCCGCGATGCCGAAACTCTTGCAGTAGGGACCTCGAGCCTTCCGCACAGCTGCGGACGAGCTCGAAGTCTCGCGGCAAGGTTTCGAACTTGAGCCAAAATGGCTACGGGGAGGATGAGGAGGAGGCGGAGGAGGCGGAGGACGAGGAAAGGCAGCGTGAACCCAAGAGGCATCAACGGTGTTGGAATAAACCCTCCCAGCAAGCTCCCTCTTCATAGGCCCCTACAACTGTTCATTTCCACTGCGGGAACTACCTCGTTGGAATTCGACCGTTTGAAGACACTGAAGCATGCCAAAGCATTGTTCTCGGGATTCCAACGCCACGGATCAACCTGACAGTTGCGTCTTGACGATCTTGAGTCGTACCAGAACGCCATTCCTGGAACTTCAACACCACGAATCAACGTACTTGTCGCGCCCTCATGATCCAGAATCCGTCCAAAACGCAATCCCTGGTACGCAGATCATGGGAATCCGTGAAGCTCTGGCACATGTTTAACACGAGTGTGCGCTGCGCTAAGGCAAGAACCACATGTTGAAAAGGAACCGCCCTCAATCCGTGAAGCTCTTGCGAATTTAAGAAAACGAATGTGCGCGGCGCTAAAGCGAGAACCACATTTTGAAAACGGGCCGCCCTCAATCCGTGAAACTGTTGTCAATGTTTCGGCTTCAGGGTCATAAATTGTGAGGAACTCTCAGGCGAAACGCTGGCCCGCCCCAAAAACTGGCCTCGGGGTGCGACAGGGAGAAGTTATTGATATAAGGAAAAGGAATGGAGGAGGAGGAGGAGGAGGAGGAGGAGGAGGAGGAGGAGCCTGCAAGATGGAGGAGGAGAAGGAGGAGGAGGAAGAGGAGGAAGAGGTCGGCCACGCACAGAGGGACTAGGGGGAGGGGGGAAGGCTTCTTCAAAACACCCCTGCTTCTCAGAAGGCGCGGGCCCTGGCTATAGACATAGGGCCGGCACCTTCTCAGAAGCAGCCTCCCTCTGAGAAGCCGCCCCCCCTCCCCCAGAGGGGGCCGCAGGAAAGTCGCGCCGGGGAAGAAGGCAGCAGAGGCTGGCCTCCGACGACGACAGAGGGGGCGGGCTAAAAAAAGACAGCAGCGGCTCGTCTCTGGCGACGACCAGCGCCGGCGGCGGCGGCCGCCCCCGCCGCAGGTCACCTTCGACGAGTTCTACAAGCTCATGACGAATCCGGCCCCGCCGCTGCCGACGTCCCTGCCCGCCGCGCCCAGCAGGATCACGCCCGCCCGCCGCCAGGCTGTGGAACAGCATGACTCGAAGGAAAGCAGCGCCACAAGCATAAACTCTTGGCTGTCCGCGCGGATGTCTCGGATCTGCGCTGCGGCGCCTCTGGCGCCGCCCCTGGCGCGCCCCGCGCGCCAGGGATGGGGTCCAGCGCAGATCCAAGAACTCCGCGCGCAGCGTCAAACGTTTATGTTTATGTCAGGAGGGGAAAAAACACACAGACACAACTAACCGGCGATTCCCAGAAAATATGGGAAAATATGGGAGGTGGGGGGGAAGACAAAAACCCAGAAAATATGGGATTATAGCCGGAGTGCAGTATCCCCAAACAGGGTTTTTAGACCCACTGCGGTTTCCAAGGTCGATTGCGTGTCCGTCCAGTGCAGGCTGGCATGGCATGTTAAAACATGCCTCCTCCTCCTCCTCCTCCTCCTCCTCCTCGACCACCTCCTCTTCATCCCGAAAGGCATCTCGGAGCCCAGAGTTGCGAGGATGTCTCCAGCGTAACGGGCTGGACCACCTCGCGCGCGGCATTTCGGACCCCAGAGTTGCGACGATGTCTCGGGCGAAACGTGATGCGAGGAAGTCTCAGGCGAAACGGGCCGGACCACCTCGAGCGCGGCGTCTCAGAGCTCCGAGTTGCGGGGGCCTCCTGGTGCCTCCTGGGTCCTCCTGGGGACCTCCTGGGGCTTCCTCCTGGGCCTCCTGTGGCCTCCTGAACTCCACCTGGGGTTTCCTGAAGCGTCTTGGGGCTCCCAGGGGGGATATCTAACCTGTGGCCGCTTGGGCCCCTCAAAATACAGGGGGGGCCACAAGAGCAGTAAAAATCAACGAATCGACACCGGATGTGAATTATATTGACACGTTCTGATAGGGGGCCTCCTGGGGCCTCCTGGGAAGGTTGCTGCGCAGCTGAACCGCGTGTTCTACGATGTGGCTAAGGCGCTGCTCGGCCTTCCTCCGTCTGCGTCCCTCGGCGCGGGCGGCCACGTGCGCGCCTTCCTCGAGACGCGCCTGCTCACGAGGGCTGCCGCCAAGGTCGCGACGCGGATCATCACAGCGTGGGCTCGGGTGCTCCTCCTGCCGCAGGACTCGCCGGTGGCGCCAACGATCCGGGCGGCGCTGGCGGCCAGAGGCGGCACTTGGTTGCAGGATGCTGCGGCGGTGGCACGGACGTACGGCGTGTCCGCGCCCCCGCTCCACCTGGCCGACGCGGCGGAGGCGGGGCCGAAGGCCAGGCGGCAGGCGGTTCGCTCGTGGGCCCGCGCGGCGGTGTTGCCGAAGATCCGCGAGGCGGAGCGCGCGTGGTTCTGTGAACAGCTGGGCAAGCTCAACGACAACGGGCTGCTGCCCATCGCCGAGGTGCTGCCCTTGCAAAGGCAGTGGCCCGTCGACCTTCGATGGGCCGGGTGGGGGAAGTCGACGTGGAGATTTCACAGGGCCTGGTGCGTGGCACGCGTGACCTCGGAGATCCCTGCGGACGTCTGGGGGCTTCCCCAAACGAGGCTTCCGCAGATATGCGCCCTCTGCGCGGGCGCGCCGAACAGCCTCGAACACCTGCTGGCCCAGTGCCCCGCTGGCCGAGGCCTCCGGGACGCGCTCTGCGAGCGGTGGCCCCTCGGCTCTGACGCCGTGGCCGCGTGGGTGCTGCGCGACGCGGACGCCCTCGACGCGTTCGCCGAGAAGGTCCGCTACCTCGGGCTTCTCACCGCCACCTTCGTGCACGCGTGCGGGTGCGCGGGGCGCGCGGCGTGACCACGGCAAGGCGGGGTCGCACAAAAACATGTTATTGCATAAGCCTACGGGTCCTCCCCGGCCTGCGGGCCCCTCCCCTGGCCTGCGGGCCCCTCCCTGGCCTGCGGGCCCCTCCCCAGCCTGCGGGCCCCTCCCCGGCCTGCGGGCCCTTCCCCGGCCTGCGGGCCCCTCCCCGGCCTGCGGGCCCCTCCCCTCCCCCTCGTCGTCCTTCTCCGCCTCTTCGTCCTCCTCCTCCGCCCGGCCCTCCCTCTTCTCCGTCTTCTTCCTCTCCGTACTCCAGCCTGCTGCTCTCCAGGGCCAGGTCTTGCGGGACAACGCCCCCGCCCTGGAGCCGCGGGGATATAGGCCCTGCGGGGTGTTTCCACCCGGCCCGGGATGGACGCTACCCTGCGGGGTATAACCACCGACCGAATGCTCAACCGAATGCTCCCACATCCCTCATCCCTCATCCCTCATCCCTCCTCCTCCTCCTCCTTCTCCGCCTCCTCCTCCTCCTCCTCCTCCTCCTCCTCCTTCCTCCTCCTCCTCCCTCCTCCTCCTCCTCCTCCTCCTCCTCCTCCTCCTCTCTTGCTCCCTCATCCCCCCTCCTCCTCCCTCCCCTCCTCCCTCATCCCTCCTCCCTCATCCCTCCTCCCTTATCTCCTCCTTATCCCTCCTCCTCCTCCTCCTCCTCCTCCTCCTCCTCCCTCCTCCCCCCTCCTCGTCCTCCTCCTCCTCCTCCTCCTCCTCCTCCTCCTTCTCCTCCTCCTCCTCCTCCTTGCTCCTCCTCCTCCTCCTCCTCCTCCTCCTCCTCTTCCTCCTCCTCCTCCTCCTCCTCATCCTCCTCATCCTCCTCATCCTCTTCTTGCTCCCTCATCCCCCCCTCCTCCTCCCTCCTCCCTCCTCCCTCATCCCTCTCCTCCTCCTCCTCCTCCTCCTCCTCCTCCTCCTCCTCCTCCTCCTCCTCCTCCTCCTCCTCCCCCCGTCGCCGATCCCGCGCAGGGTGTGGCCCCCGACGGGGGGAGCCTCGGAGCCTGTCCCCCCAGTCAGTCAGTCAGTTATTAACGGGCAGAGAACGGTACTAAACAAAAAAATTGTTTCGCCGTCGGGAACACCTGCCCCTGGGCGGCTGGAAAGTTTCTACCCCTACGGTGCCACCGTAAGGGGTAGAAACTTTCCAGCCGCCCAGGGACAGGTGTCCCCGACGGCGAAACAGTTTATTGTATACCGTCTTTCGCCCGTTAAAGTTAGCCGTGCGTCCAGTAGGACGCGTTGGCACAAGCCTGAGACACGCCAAACACGCGCCTGAACAGCCGTGCGACACGCCAAACACGTGCAGAGGAAGATTGTGGTCAGACCTGAGACACGCCAGACACGTGCGGAAGCAGGCGGGCGACACGCCAGACACGTGCAGGTGCAGCGCAGACGCGCCAGACGCGCGCGGGGAGGAGGGGTCAAACAATGCGTAGTCTGGGGGCGTTTTTTTTTGTGTGTGTATTTTGTGTGACTCTATTTGAAAATGTGTCGAATCTGTTTTAGATTTGTTCTGAACATGTTTTAAAACACTTTTCGAGTATATGTTTTTTATTTATCGCCCAAGATCCGCCTGCAGGGGGGCATTGTCCGACCTCACGGAGCCTCCAGGATCTGCCCAGCCCAGCAGTCGGAGGAGCCGGGCTCGGGGAGCTGGGCTGGCCCTTCGTCTGCTCCTCTCGGGGGTGGACAGACCTCCTACCCTGACACGTCGATTAGCGAATCGGCCGTTTTCGGCTCGCGAGAGGGCGTCGCGGCCGTCATTCTTGCGGGTCCAGGTCCATCGGTTTCGGTCCCAGGCCGTTTTCACTAAAGGGAGGTTTATTAAAGGGAGTTTGTCCACCGCCGATACTTCCACGAGCTCAGGCCAGTTTGCCAATCGGCGGCGAGCGATGGGGAGGAGCGAAAAGGAGAAGGCCTCCTCTCGGGCCGAACGAGAGGAGGGGATAGGGAAAGGGGGGGTGGCGAAAGCTGCTGCGTGCAGCTGGTTCCGGCCCCGCCGCCGGGCCCTTTCCTCTACACATGGGCGCCTCGCGGCGCCGGGAGGCGCCAGGAAAATCAGCTTCGCGAGCTGGTTCTCAAACCCCCCCTTGGCTATCCCCCCCCTTTCGCCCGGACCGGTTCTCAGAGGGCGGCGGGACCTCTCAGAAGCCCTCGCGTCTCCTGAGACGTGCTTGCCGCTCTTCGGGGAACGCCCGGAGCACTTCTCAGACGGCATATGGGGATCTCCGAGCCGCCCGAGGAGGCCTTCTCCCTCTCGCGCCCCCCCCTCGCTCGCCGCCGGGCCGAGGACGAGAGATCGGACTCCTCCTCCTCCTCCTCCTCCTCCCCTCCTCCTCCTCCTCCTCCTCCTCCTCCTCCTCCTCCCTCCTCCTCCTCCCCTCCTCCTCCCCCTCCTCCCCCCTCCTCCACCTCCTCCTCCTCCTCCCTCCTCCTCCTCCTCCTCCTCCCCTCCTCCTCCTCCTCCTCCTCCTCCTCCTCCTCCTCCTCCTCCTCCTCCTCCTCCTCCTCCTCCTCCTCCTCCTCCCCCTCCTCCTCCCCCCCTCTCCCCCTCCTCCCCCTCCTCCTCCTCCTCCTCCTCCTCCTCCTCCTCCTCCTCCTCCTCCTCCTCCTCCTCCTCCTCCTCCTCCTCCTCCTCCTCCTCCTCCTCCTCCTCCTCCTCCTCCTCCTCCTCCTCCTCCTCCTCCTCCTCCCCCTCCTCCTCCCCTCCTCCTCCCCCTCCCCCTCCTCCTCCTCCTCCTCCTCCTCCTCCTCCTCTCCTCCTCCTCCTCCTCCCTCCTCCTCCTCCTCCTCCTCCTCCTCCTCCTCCTCCTCCTCCTCCTCCTCCTCCTCCTCCTCCTCCTCCTCCCCCTCCTCCCCCCTCCCCCTCCCCCTCCTCCTCCTCCTCCTCTCCTCCTCCTCCTCCTCCTCCTCCTCCTCCTCCTCCTCCTCCTCCTCCCTCCTCCTCCCCCCCCTCCTCCTCCCCCCCCTCCTCCTCCCCCTCCTCCCCTCCTCCTCCTCCTCCTCCTCCTCCTCCTCCTTCCTCCTCCTCCTCCTCCTCCTCCTCCTCCCTCCTCCTCCTCCTCCTCCTCCTCCTCCTCCTCCTCCTCCTCCTCCTCCTCCTCCTCCTCCTCCTCCTCCTCCTCCTCCTTCCTCCTCCTCCTCCTCCTCCTCCTCCTCCTCCTCCTCCTCCTCCTCCTCCTCCTCCTCCTCCTCCTCCTCCTCCTCTTCCTCCCTCCTCCTCCTCGTCCTCCTCCCCCCTCCTCTCCCCCTCGCAGCCTGCCAAGGATTCGGGCCTCCGACTTCGCGGGGCCCGAGCGGCGAGCACGTCGCCGGCCCGCCGGGCGCCGCGCACGCCCGGTCCGAAACCGAGAGGTGCAGCGCTGGAGGTGCCTCGCCAGCCTAACCTCAAGTCGGGCCTGTCCCCCTACAGGGGGAGTTGCGACGACAGATAAAAAACACCCCCCCAAAATAGTCCAAAAATAGTCTGGGGACTGTGTTTTAAGTATTTTGTTGCCTTTGGGGGGGTATTTTTGGGGTATTTTTTGTTTCTCGTCGAAAATCCCCCTGTAGGGGGACACGCCCGACATCAGCCCAACCGACCAGTAGGGCGTCGGGATGGCAGCGAGGCCCGATGCATGAATCGCACCGAGCTCCAGCGGCGGCAAGCCGTGCCTGTCCGCACGAGCTCGTGCGAGTTCTGCACTTCCTCGGGATGGGCGGCGCATCGTGGACACGTGCTGCAAAGATGGGTCGCGGCCCCGTCCGGGTCGGCGCTGGGGATTTGCGACGACAAATGAAGAATACCCCAAAAATAGTCCAAAAATAGTCTGGGGGCTATGTTTTAGGTATTTTGCCTCTTTGGAGGTATTTTCGGTGTATTTTCTGTTTTTCGTCGAAAATCCCCCTGTAGGGGGACACGCCCGAACGCCACCCGCAGGGGACGGAAACACAACTGTGCCGCGCGGCCCGGGCCGCAGAGCTGCCCTCCTCCAGGGCTAGGCGGCGCGAGGGCGCAGCTTCGACCGCGCCTCGCGCCGCGCGAAGGGCGGGCGCGGGCGACCGGGGTGCCCCGGCCTCGGTCTGCACGAGCTCGGAGCCGAAGGCGGCTGCGGAAGAGCGGGCAGGCAGGCAGGCAGGCAGGCAGGCAGGCAGGCAGGCAGGCAGGCAGGCAGGCAGGCAGGCAGGCAGGCAGGCAGGAGGAGGAGGAGGAGGAGGAGGAGGAGGAGGAGGGCGTCGAGCAGGGCGATGGATGGGGAAGGAGGAACAGGAGGATGTGGAGGAGGAGTGAGCAGGAGGAGGAGGACGATGAGGGAGGAGGAGGAGGAGGAGGAGGAGGAGGAGGAGGAGGAGAGACGGCTTCGCGCGTGCTCGCCCTGCAGCTCGTGCACGGAGGACGTCATATGGGGTCGTTGAGAAGTCAGTGGGGACGAGGACGAGGAGGGAGGAGGGAGCAGGAAGAGGAGGAAGAGGAGGAGGAGGAGGGAGGAGGAGGAGAGGAGGAGGAGGAGGAGGAGGAGGAGGAGGAGGAGGAGGCGGAGGAGGGCGAGGAGGAGAAGGTTTACAGTGGGGGCGCGCGTCAAGAAAACATATGCTTTTCGTCAGGGTATCCTGGGTTTCTTCGCGACCCGCGCGCGGCGCGGCGATCTCCCGCGGCGGTTGAAGGAGCTGCGTTCAGAGTGCTCCAGGTTTTCCCTCCGGTGCACTTCGCGCGCGGGTTTTCAGGGTTGGGTTTCTTGCGAGGGTTTCTTGCGGCCGCACCCGGACTGTATGATGTCGTTGGGAAGTCAGTGGGGATGAGGACGAGGAGGGTGAGGAGACAGCGGAGAAGTTCGATGTCTGTTCATGGGAGCCTTGGGCGGCGACATTGAAATCAGCTTTTCCTGCATGTGGACAGCGTGGGGACTGCATTTGGCCCATCCTCCTGCTCCTCCTCTCCCCTCCTGTTCCGTCTCCCCCTCCTCGTTCTCCTAGCCCCCACGAATCCAGTCCAAGTCCGGTCCAAATCCGGTCCACGCAGGACAAGTCTGGTCCAAATCCGGTCCAAATCCGGTCCAAGTCCAGCCCAAATTGGACACTGCTGGAGGCCACGCAGGCTCTGGAACGGACACCAAAGAGAAGGGCCAGGAGGAGAAGGTTCAGGAGCAGCAGTTTCAACAGGAGGAGCATCGCTCGTCGGCGCGGCCCGCGTGCGCTGCTCGTGGTCCCCATCCGCGGCCGACCCGGCAGGGGCCCCGCGAACATGATGCGAGCAGGCACGGACGCGTCAATGGCTGGGACGGGGGCGGATGCCAGAGGGAGGTCAAGGCAGCTACGAATCGAGCAGGGGACCGGCTACTCCAGATTTCGTAGTAAAAGGGAGGGGGTCTGGACCCTCCAAGACAAGCCATTTCAGACCTCCCCCGTGGGAGAACCCTCCAAAACATCGTCCCCAGACCCCCCAGGCCCTCCAGGATAGCCTGGAAGAGACCCCCCCCGAAATGAGACACCCCTCCTGTTATTACGAAATCTGGAGTATTTGAGGGGCTCTTGGGCTGCTTCTCAGGGCTCTTTGTGGCATCTGGGAAGCGTTTTGGGGCTTCTTGGGGGGCTCTTGGGGCCCTCTTGGGGCCCTCTTGGAGACCTCTTGGGGCCTCTTGGGGGCGCCTCGGGGGCTTCTGGGGGGCTCCTGGGGCCATCGTGGGGGGAGCGGCTCGACATGTTACTGATTCGACCTTTTGAGCCACTCTTGGGGCCCTCGTGGGCCTCTCTAGCGTCTTGGGGGCCCCTGGGCCGTCTCGGGACCCTCCTGGACTGTCTTGGGGCTTTCAGGGAGGTACCACCGATGGCCCCAGTGGGTGCGTTCGCGTGGCGTCCCCGCGCGCATTTTGGCACACCCCTCACATTTTCTGGCCCCCAGGGAGGTTTCACACACGGCCCCAGTGGGTGCGTTCACATGGCGTCCTCGCCCGCATTTCGGCACACGCCTCAAACGTGTCCTGCACCAAGGGAGCTTCACCCATGGCCCAAGTGGGTGCGTTCGCATGGCGTCCCTGCTCCCATTTCGGCACACCCCTCACGTGTATCCTGCCCCCCAGGAGGTCCCACACACGGCCCCAGTGGGTGCGTTCGCATGGTGTCCCCGCGCGGATTTCGGCACGTACACGCCTCACACATTGCCTGCCCCCCACGGTGCTGCTCACGCGTTTCCTGCCTCCCAGGGAGCTCCACTTACAGTTCGGGCGCTGTTGAAGGAATGTGCCCAGGAATTTCCAGACCCTGCAGGATTCTTTATCTGATGAGGGCGGCGTTGATATCCATGGTCAAGCCTTAATTGGCGTTCCACGGGCTTGCAGAGCCTGGAGTCCTTATCCAAGGGTTCATTACACAATTATTCACTGCGTGGGGATCCCCATATGTGCATCTCCTTGCTGGCGCTCCCTTGGTGGTGGGACTCGGTGAGGACGAATCTGGATTTAAGTGTGACTGAGCTGCCTCTCTCTCTGCTCTCTCTGCTCTCTCTGTCTCTCTCTCTCTCTCTGCCCTCTCTCTGTCTCTGCCTCTCTTTCCCTGCCTCTCTCTCTCTCTCTGCCTCTCTCTCTGCCTCTGTCTCTCTGCTCTCTCTCTCTCTCTGCCTCTCTCTCTGTGCCTCTCTCTCTCTGCCTCTATCTCTGCTCTCTCTCTCTCTCTCTCTCTCCTCTCTCTCTTCTCTCTATTCTCTCTCTGCTCTCTCCTCTCTCTCTCACTCTCCCTCTCTCTCTCTCTCGCTCTCTCTCTTCTCTTCTCTTCTCTTCTCTTCTCTTCTCTCTCTCTCTATCTCTCTCTCTCTCTCTCTCTCTCTCTCTCTCTCTCTCTCTCTCTCTCTCTCTTTCGCTCTCTCGCTCTCTCTTGCTCTCTCTCGCTCTCTGTCGCTCTCTCTCGCTCTCTCTCTCTCTCCCTCTCTCGCTCTCACTCGCTCTCTCTCGCTCTCTCTCGCTCTCCCTCGCTCTCTCCCGCTCTCTCTCTCTCTCTCTCTCTCTCTGCTCTCTCTCTCTCTCTCTCTCTCGTCTCTCGCTCTCTCTCTCTCTCTCTCTCTCTCTCTCTCTCTCTCTCTCTCTCTCTCTCTCTCTCTCTCTCTATTTCTCTCTCTCTCTCTCTCTCTCTCTCTCTCTCTCTCTCTCTCTCTCTCTCTCTCTCTCTCTCTCTCTCTCTCTCTCTCTCTCTCTCTCTCTCTCTCTCTCTTCTATCTCTATCTCTCTCTCTCTCTCTCTCTCTCTTCTCTCACACTCTCTCTCTCTCTCTCTCTCTTCTCTCTTCTCTCTTTCTCTCGCCTGTCTCCTCTCTCAACTCCCCCTCTCTCTCTCTCTCCGCTCTCTCTCTCTCTCTCTCCTCTCCCTCTCTCTCGCTTCCTCTCTCTCTCTCTCTTGCTCTCTCTCTCTCTCTCTCTCTTTCTCTCCTTCTCTCTCTCTCTCTATCTTCCTCTCTCTCTCTCTCTCTCTTCCTCGCTCTCTCTCTCTCTCTCGCTCGCTCGCTCGCTCGCTCGCTCTCTCTCTCTCTCTCTCTCTCGCTCGCGCTCGCGCGCTCTCTCTCTCTCTCTCTCTCGCTCTCTCCCGCTCTCTCTCTCTCTCTCTCTCTCTCTCTCTCTCTCTCTCCTCTCTGCTCTCTTCGCTACTGGCTTCTGACGGAGTCTGGGTTAGGTGAGCCTGAGTGTGGGTGAGTCTGAGTATGGGTACGTCTGTGTGTGCCTGACTCTGAAGAAATGAATCTGAGTGTGAGTGAGCTTGTGTATGAGTGAGTCTGGGTGCGAGTCTGAATCCCAATGGTGCCCCTGGCAGTGTCTGGCGACTAGGAGGCCCGGGTCGACTCCTCTTTGGGAAGCCAAAATGCTGCCCCTGGCAGCGTTTGGTGACTATGAAGCCCCTGGTGGACCCCCCCTGGGGCTCCCAAATGATGCCCCTGGCAGCGTTTTGTGACCATGAGGCTCTCAAGAGATACATGTTGGGGACGCCAAACGGCAATTCTAGCTGAGGCGTCCCACCAAAATCGGCGCGAACGGGCTCGTGAGATCAGCCAGGGTGGCTCCCCCTTGGGGCTCCCAAATGATGCCCCTGGCAGCGTTTTGTGACCATGAGGCTCTCAAGAGATACATGTTGGGGGCGCCAAACGGCAATTCTAGCTGAGACGTCCCACCAAAATCGGCGCGAACGGGCTCGTGAGATCAGCCAGGGTGGCTCCCCCTTGGGGCTCCCAAATGATGCCCCTGGCAGCGTTTTGTGACCATGAGGCTCTCAAGAGATACATGTTGGGGACGCCAAACGGCAATTCTAGCTGAGGCGTCCCACCAAAATCGGCGCGAACGGGCTCGTGAGATCAGCCAGGGTGGCTCCCCCTTGGGGCTCCCAAATGATGCCCCTGGCAGCGTTTTGCGACCATGAGGCTCTCAAGAGATACATGTTGGGGAGGCCAAACGGCAATTCTAGCTGAGGCGTCCCACCAAAATCGGCGCGAACGGGCTCGTGAGATCAGCCAGGGTGGCTCCCCCTTGGGGCTCCCAAATGATGCCCCTGGCAGCGTTTTGCGACCATGAGGCTCTCAAGAGATACATGTTGGGGGCGCCAAACGGCAATTCTAGCTGAGACGTCCCACCAAAATCGGCGCGAACGGGCTCGTGAGATCAGCCAG